ACTGACTTCAATAAACAAGCATGATTCTTTCAACAAAATCCTAACGTGAACAAGTTCTTCCGGTCAATGTCTTCATCAACTGAATAGACTCCACATATTGATGTTGTCATAAACGGATCCCTACCCGGCTCTTTAGCGGGCAACCCCATCATCATCAACTCGAAAGACGACGAAGAAATCAATGTTGTTGTTCCATATGTTTCTTAAACAACGAACTGCTATCGTAGGGTTTGCCTTCACCCCATTCCGTTCCCAAATCCAATCGATAAAATTGAGCCCCTTGAAGTTGGAGTTGGTGATCATAATGTCGATTGTGAGAACATACCAATGGAAGTCCCACCAAAAGCAAACCAACCCTTGGTGGATATCAATTTCAGGATAGTTCCAGCCAAAAACGATGGCGTGATCATGATAAGCTCCAATGATGACAATGATGATGACAGTGTTATGTCCTTTTTGTCGGCTGTGGAGGACATGTAAAACGTTTGATCATATAACTGAAAGGTCTAAGCATATCTAGTGACATGTATAGGTATATGGATAATGGATGATTTTTGTGGTGACGACCAATTTGTGTGTGTAGTGACCTTAAACATGCACATAGTTGTTGACATACTTTTGTTGTGATGATTATTTAATATGGCCAATGACTTAAAAAAACGAGTCATACGTGTCTTCCTTTTGTATCCATTACCAAGTTGTATATATAATAATGAAGAATTTTGCAGTAATGCAATAATTATTGACTTCTGTTTTCATGAAATGATGTGGTAATAAAATCGAACCTCACCAATGACATTTGAAAAGGAAAGGATAGAAAGCATGTAATGCTAAGAAATCTATTGAACATATATATAATACATATTAACGAATCATTTCATACACAAAATCGAACTCTACCAATTACATTTGGAAAGAAAATGATAGAAAGCATAAAATGCACAGAAATCTATTGAACACATGGATAATCCATATTAGCAAATCATTTTATATACAAATTACATGTGGTAATTCAAGTGCACGAGTTACTCGACGGTGTTGGGTTTTACATGTTTGCTTGTTGTGTCCAGAACCACCACATTGGCCACATTTTCGGGTGCTAGTAGATCGTTTAGTTCTTGACCTTTTACGTTGGGTAGGAGGTCATCCTGGTGCTATACGTATATTTGAAGGTAAAATGTTGATGAAACTAATAGTATCGGGAACAATCCAATCTGACTCCATTCTAACGGGGTAAAGAAGTTCGGTGTACGAAACTTGCCAACACTCCATGGTGTAGTAACGAGAGCATAAGTCTTACATTGATGTACCTTTTGTGCAAACAGCGCGTGATGCATGTGCACATGAAATTTGTCGCATCTAAAACTCTCGACATCAAGCCCCCATTTTGTGGAAAAATTAATGTGTGGAATAGTGTTTTTTAAAAAATGAATTGTTAAAAAAGAAGTAAAAGTTTTCGATTTACGTGTAATATTATTTTATGGAAGATTGTGTGGTTGGAAATAAGAGAGAGAAAAATAAAATATAATGGAATGAAAATTAATGGCGGCCAAACGGGAACTAACATGTCTTATCTACAAGGTCAACAGTACACATTTCTGCACCTTTACCCACCTCAAAAACGAGTTCATCCAAATTTCGTACTTCTAATGTTGCACTGATGTCAAAAGATTGCCTCGATTTTCCCTTCGTTTTTTATGTCAGGGTAGTATGACAATTGTTAGATGTGTTTTTCCACTCGAAAAACCATTGTTACATCAATGTCGTAATGTGTTGGATCAACGATGTTATAGAAAAATTTCGTTGTTGCTTGAGGACTAAATTCAATGACTCTACAATGTTACTAGTCATGATATTGTACTGATTACAAACAAATTTTGCCCATGACCTGGTGGATGGATCAGTACGTTCCAAATAAGATGCGACTGCTGGCCAAATGGTCTGAATTTGTCTCATCATTTGCTTGAATTTCGATACGCATTATGCGAGTGCTGCACTTTTGAAAAGGAATATGACATTGCAACTGCTATACCTAGCAATGAGATTTTTCTTGATATGCCATATGCAGGCACCGTGGTGTGAAAACGGGAATATCATCGTAATTGCTCGCTCAATGATGTTCTTCCTATCGGATACAAACACTAGTTGATTTGAGTCATCGATAATATCTTTCAACTTCGCGAAGAACCAATACCAAGATGCATTTGTTTTCCCATCGACAATACCCCAACCAATACGATATATTTGCATGTTGGCATCTCGTGCTGCAGCTACTAGTAGTGTTCCCTTATACCGACCTTTCAAATGACTCCCATCAACGCAAATGACCGTCCTCATGTACTCTCGAAAACCACGCATGCTTGGTCCGAATGCTAAGAAAAAGTATAAGAACCTGATATTGGAGTTGAGCTCAATGTGTGCGACGATTCCTGGGTTTCTCTCAGTTAACTAGTGACAGTATGAAGACAATTTTCTGATAACTCTCTTCAAGTGAATCGTGAAGAATTCGAAGTTCTTTCTCTTTACCCCACCACGCTTTACTGTAGCTAATTCGTATACCGAACTCACATTGCATATCTCTGACAATGCCTGCGGGAACATAGGTTGGTTCCATCGGCCAATCGTCAGGTAATGTGATGCCCAATTAGGGCACTCGTTGCATGAATTTGCGCATTCCGTCGAACGTCCAAAGAACATGTGTGCTCATGTATGTACTTTCGAATCTTAAAGAAGTCTGTACTTTTTATCTTAGAGGCTCGCAGTAGCCAATGACACATGATGTCGACGCAGCACACAATAAGAGATCTAGGATTGGACTTTTTAACCTTGAAATGAAACTTCTCTGTCAAAGTATTTAGTGGAAGTCTAGTGTGCAGCTATTTCTTGCTAAGGAATATCTTATTCTTGTGAATTTCCTCTTGACCGATCGACTGAATTGCATTTTCAATATACGAATTTCGTTCACCTAAATCGATACCCTGTTATGAATCATTTCTGATTGTTGTAGTTCGCACACACTGACTTCGTCGCGTGCATCTTCTATTGGCGAGAAAGGGTCATCTCTGACATGTAGTTTGTGCTCTCCAGCATCATATTCGTCTGTAATTGCACACAAAGCTGCTTGTGTGTGAACAGAAATATACCATTGTAAAGCCTTATCGTTCGCTATATCAGCAGGGGTACGTTCATATTTGGAACTTCAAATTTCAGCTGAATCCGAAACTGTAGTTTATCAACGTTGAGCTTCTCAAATAATTTATGTACAAGATCTTCATATTCAATATCACGTCGAACAGCAATTGATATTGTTCGGTTGCCTAACCACTTCCACTTGTCGTCAATGTTGACGAATGTACCACCGTAAGAGACAACGAATCTCATAACATCTACCATATCTGCATGCCATAAACAAAAAAAAATATCAACTAATAACAAATACCTCAAACGAATATGCTAACTACCCACAAGCAATTTACAAAAAATATTCCCTAATTTCGTCATGGTATTTATAATGTTACTTTTAATATTATAAAATGTCGAGAATGATGTTAAAAGTACCATTCTCGGCCTTTGTAAAATGTGAGAGTGACACGATGAGATTCCACTTCACCATATACATTTATCATCTTTTTCATCTTCAACCACCATTTTTGCAAAGAATGTATGCTATCATTAATGACATTTTAACTACAAGAGTACCTTAAAATATTGTCTAACTAAGTTATTTAAGAAGATTATGACAAATATCTACTACTTGTTTGGACAATCTATCACATTGAAATCAAATGTGTAACAATAACTACTACACACAACTTCTCAATAAATATCAGATACCAAAAGAAATACTTTCTACCCAGAAATGATGGGAGTCTAATTAACTTCAAATTTCGATGACATTAAATTTCTCAACATGGAATAATTATTTCGTCTTTTGGAGTTGGAATCATAGATTTCTTTTTGATTGTTAATGCTTGTTATTTCACGTTCTTCATTTTTCCTAAAATAATTTGTTAATGTCTAAAGAAAAATACAAGTAAGTGGACAAGCATAGGTAATAACAAGAAGAGGAAATTACATGAAATGTTTACTTTCACATGTCCATTTACAAAAATATCCACTTTCACAAATCCTTGCAAAAATGTCCATTTTGGAATATTTTGGACCAAAATATCTCTGTGAACAATTTATGATTCCACACAAAGACAATAAATTGACATTTTTGCAAAAAATTTATTGGTCAATAAATTTTTGACACATAACCTGTTATATTTATTTGAAAAGTGCATATGACAAATCACAATTAATACTGTTTTTCTCATTGACACAGAAACGTCGAGAATTACATTTCAGATGTAGAGAAATGTCAAGTTCGAAATGAAATGTCATTCTAGCTATTTAAAATGTTGAGAATAACGTTTGAAATGTCGAGAACATTTAATATTATGATTTGACATGTGTACTTTTAAAATATAAATGAGATTCAAATATCGAGAATGACATTTGAAATGTCGATAACATCATTTTAATGTAGTTTATCATGGAAGTTACTTCTCGAAATCCGCAACAAATTGAAAAAATAAATCAATTTCTTTTTTTTTTTTCATTAAGGGCATAATAGACAGTTTAGTGCTAAATTTAAAAAGTGGACATTTTTCAATTGACACCTATAAAATTAGATATTTTTAAAAATACCCCTAACAACAATTATTGTGGCTTCTCATGGAAGCCATTGCTCTTTTCGAGATCAGTTTCAATTTGCAAAAGAAGAGTTGAGAATTATTATTTCTTCATTAAGGGTAAAATAAAGAATTTGATATCAAATTTGGCTATTTTTGTAAAGACTATCAAAAGTGGATATTTTTAAATTGACATATGTGAAATTGGACATTTTTACAAATGCACCGATTTAATAATATATGATTTTTAAAGTTTTGAACCTTATTTCTTAATTTTAGAATAGGTGATTGCATATGAAATTTTCCCATCCTTGTACCGTCCCGTTTCCTTCTCTCCAATTTATCAAGTTTGTGGTAAACTCGCGTGACCAAACGATTTCTCCAGTCACTTCTAGTGCGTTCAAGCGATCAATCAACCCAATAACAAACTTTGCCCCTTCAAATCCACCCTTTTCCCGCCATTGCTAACAATATCTTCCTCTGTTATCCTCTCTCTAACGACGCCATAATATACACACACACACACACACAAATATCTCCTATATTGTAAATCCAGTGACACAAAGACGCACTGATATGTGAAAAGAAATGGAGACTCGGAAGAGAAAACCCTTATCAGACCTGACTAATACCTTCAATTTAATCCCCACCTCCACTCTCCGCAAGCTTGTAGCCTCGAAACCCCCGAATTCAATTCTAAAATTAAATCCAATATATTCCGATTCCGACACCAAGTCCGGTACTAGTATCGGGTCTTCCAATGTTAGCGACGCCCGGAATTTGCATACCGTTCAATTTTCGAACGATCCCTGTCGTCCACTATCGTCAATTGCTTCACCTGGTAGTTTTGTTTAGGACTACTTATATGTACATTTTTATTTTTATTTTTTTGTATTAATTAACATGCCTTTGTGCTTGTGGTTTTATTGATTTGGGGATTTAGAAATCTAGGCTTTGGCATGCCCTAATTCGCTGCGTTCATAATTTGTCCTAGTTTGTGAGTACAGTGTACATGTGAGTGGATTTTTCTGCTGATGATTGGGGTGGGGATGATTTTGAAATTCTTTGCATATATGGGAAGTTTTACTAGCTGAATTATTAATTCGATTCGGAATTGTGTACTGCTTTTTCAATGAAATAATTACTGGTGTTTTTACTCTTTGTTACAAGTATTTCATTTTTCTTTGGGATTTTTTTACTTACCACCGTTTTGTTGTTGATTCACGTGAGAAGTTTGAGGGGTTCTTTCTGAGCTTAACTTTGACTTTAGGGTCTCTCGGGTGTCATTAATTTTTCAAGTTTAGACTGAAGAGTTTTGGGTTTCCTTAGATGATCTATTAAGAGAGTAGAACTGATTTATATGGACATCAGACTTGGGTTATTAGTTTCTCTACTGTTTCAATCTGGATATTTGCGAATGTTGTTTTGACCCAGTACAGAAGGATCCAGATGTTTGCAGTTATTGGCAATTTTTTTTTTTTTTTTTTTTTGCATGTACTTAGTTCACGTCCCTGAGTAGATTTTAATCTATGGATAAATGAGAGCTTATCTGTACCTTACTGCTTACTGAAGGTGATGGGGAAACTAAGAACGGAGCTTCCAGTAGAAGATGGACCACATATGGACCTCAGAAAGAAAGTGATGCTGTTACTGCAACTGTTAGCTCCACTTCTCTTTTGAAGATGAAGGATAAAGGGAAGGCAATTACTTTACCATCCTATTGCTCACCTCCTGGGAAAGCAGAGGACTATGGGAACCCAATTCGCGGTTCTTGTAGTTTTCTGGATAAAGCAATGGAAAAGGAGAAAGGAAGTTTCGGTCCTTTTAGTGAATATGTTGAAAACATGGAACTTGGGAAGGAAATTCTCAATCCTTCTAGCTGCTCATTCGAAAAAGGAGAGAAAGGGAAGACAATTCTCAATGCTACTGGCTGCTCAATTGAGAAAACAAAAGAGCTAAGGAAGGGAATCCTTAATCTTTCTAATTTCTCACATAAGAAAAGAAAGGAGGGAGCAGTTGTGATTCGTAGTCCTTCTAGCCCCTCACTCGAGAAAACAAAAGAGATAGGGAAGACAATCCCCAATGCTTCTAGCTCGTCATTACAGAAAACAAAGGATAAAGGGAAGGCTATGGTCAATTCTTCTGGCTGCACAATTAAGAAAACAAATGAGTTGATCCTTAATCCTTCTAGCTGCTCATATGAGATAAAAAAGGAAAGAGGGGTTGTAATTCGTAGTCCTTCTAGCTCCTCACTTGAGAAAACAAAAGAGAGAGGAAAGACAATCCCCAATCCTTCTAGCTCATCATTTGAGAAAACAAAGGATAAAGGGAAAGCTGTTGTCAATTCTTCTGGCTGTGCAATTGAGAAAACAAAAGAGCTGATCCTTAATCCTTATAGCAGCTCATATGAGAAAAGAAAGGAAAGAGGGGTTGCGATTCATAGTCCTTCTAGCTCCTCACTTGATAAAACAAAAGAGATAGGGAAGACAATCGCCAATCTTTCTAGCTCATCAGTTGAAAAAACAAACGCTAAAGGGAAGACTGTTCTCAATCCTTTTGGCTCCTCGCTTCAGACAACAAAGAAGCGGGGGAAACTGATTCTCGTTCCTAGCTCAGTTGAAAATGTAAAAGATAAAGGGGCATCTGCTACTGTGCCAGTTAATCACACGTCTCGGAGAAGAAAAAGTGGAAAGAGGACGATAGATATTGGGGCTTCTAGTTGCCCTCCTTTGATGAAGACCAAGTAAAGTAGCATACTCTCTCTCTTACTCCCACTTTCACTCTCTCTCTGACTCTGCCCATGCATATACAAACATGAACACCTATCCACACAGATGCAAGAGCACACATAAGCGATGACCTTGTGAACTTTTCAAATCTTATTTGTCATACTTAGCAGACTCTCCTGACTCTTTGAGAGCATGTACTATGTGCATAATATGCTTATTTTAAAATTTCAGATGCATTGGCGTCGCTGGTTTCTTATTATAGACAAATTTAATGGCATAAGTTACATTGCATAGTTAATTTCTTATAGCAGTGGGTTTTATTTGATGGTAATTTATTTATTTTCTGTTGCTCTTTCTTCGTTTTTACTCTAAGACATTGAGCCTTTCTGTACAGTTTTCTTCTGTTATATTTCTGTATAATTTATACAGGTAGACTATTTTGAATTCCAGCTGTTTCATTTACTGCCTTCTTTACTATTACGTCGTTTTGTTTATATTTTGGGCTTTGTCTCATGAAGTGGAGAAGTTGGATCATGGAGACAATAGAAAATATTTTTCACCATTAAGTTTTGTGAGAAGGACATTTTTCTAAAATTTAATTTTTCAGATAGTGTTCATTTCTTTTTGCCTCTGCTTATTTTTATGTTACATCAAGTATTTTCAGATTTTGGATTGTGCTATATTTCCCTCTTATGCTCTGCCTGTAGTTATCGCTTGTGCTGATCTCCTTTTGATTCTTTTTCTGTTTAGGAATGGTTTTAATGAATCTGGAGATGTTAAACCATCAAACTCATGGACTGGTCTTCAGCCTAAACATAAAAAGGTTTGTACAGATTTCTCATTTCTTACACACAAAAGGAAATCAAGATTGGAGTGTACTTGGTTATAGCGTTTGATTGCTGTCAGTATTATCTGTATGCCTTTTCTTGTGGAACTAAGGTTTCTATTTATTCCACTTCTATTTTCTTTGTTTTTATTAAGTTGTTTCTGTGGATATGATATATTCTTTAATTTTCTAATTGAATGAAATTATTTATGGTCATTTAGATATTTCAATGTTTAAAAAGAGCAATTAGGTGATTGAGGCTTTCTGTGAGGCGAGGCATAAGATTCAATATAAACTAATATAATAACTGAAAACATAGTAAAATACAATTACACTCAAAATAGACCTTGTACCATCCGAAATTTAAATGATAAATCATTTCAAGTAAATTGAAACCCTAATTTGCAACTACAAGCATAAAATGGATTGAGCAAAGTAATAATCGTAGTCACGTAACAACTACTAATCTACACCGATAAATGAGAGTCTAAAATAAATGGAACAGCTAATTAACTACTTAAAGAATTTTGTTTATTTGGAGTTTAAAAGGAAATAACATCCAAAGCAAAGAAAACAAATATAGGGGCATCACACATCAGCTGTAAGAGGAGGGCTAGTGCAATTTTTAGGGATTCAACTGAAATAGAGCATCATAAAACTGTATTCGAAGCGGACTAGGTTGTCATTTATTTAATTATGTCCTAATTTCTGTTTTATATAAAATATCAGGCTGTTCTTTTTGGCTTCAATAAAATATAGGGTGAACCATATGGAAATGAAATTGTTCTATAATAAACAAATATTATATTGGTGACAGGTCTTTTGACTAGTTGACCTTATATCTGTTGATGCTACTATACGAAGAACATTTGTACTAAATTTACTTGGTAGATAATGGTGGCTCTGCTACTGGGAATTTTTGAGTTTTCCAAGCAAGAAAGCCCCCATGAATTTGGAGGTGTGTGATAGCTAATCAGATGATATTATGTTCAATTTCGTGTAGAGCTACTCTTATGGCTCTACTATAATCCGAATTCCCAGATGTATTGAACTTTGATGGTTAAATATTACAGATGACTGTCCTAACATCTCGTTGTAATGTCCTTTGACTGCTCTTGGGGTTGGCTATGAATATCCCCAACTTTGGCAAAAATCATTATGTTTATTTAAAGCATTCACACATCACATTCTGATGACTCAGACTAGGTTCAGGAAAATATAGGATATTGAATGTTACCAATTCTAATAATACATGAAATCAATGAAGAGCTCTTTCATTCAAGACTATCCTGTGCCAAAAACGCTTTTTATAGAGTACCTGATTGAGAAGAATTATACATTTATGACAAAATGTCCAGTATTGATATTTCAAGGATAACGTGGTTTTGCAGAAGAGGTGCATGCAGCAGAAAGATGCTAATGATTGTTGCTTGCCAAAAGATTTTATTGAACAGCAGAGAGCATATTTTGAAGAAATTGACAACTTTGAATTGCCAGTAGAGGAAGTATAACAGGATGAGTTACAGTGAGAAAGAGCTTAATTAGCTGTGCAAAGTAGGTGCTTCTAACATATAGGTCGTTGTATAGTCCCAATGTGAATTGGGGGTGATGTGTTTCTTGCCAATTTTTAGATTAGTTTGTATTAGCAGATGATTCTAATGCTGCTAAATATGTGTAGCTATGGCTTAAATTTCTGGGGGAGTGTAGTGTGTACCGTACTGCCAATTGGAGCCTTTACTGTTGAACTGCGTTATTCCATACTTAAATGAAGTTGTAGTAGCCACCGAACATAAGTATAACCTGCCTATCTATCCGTTTTTCCTTCATAAATTTGTATTATATATAACTGTAGCACGGTTGTGGTCATTAAGTTGTTCTATATGGTGCAACATGATGTAGGCTTCTTGTTCTTGATTAGCATTTAAATTAATCTGAGAGTGCATTTCCTCGTTCCATCTGCTGCTTTAATCTCTCTTTCGGTTGCATTGTGATGCTGAAACTGGTATTGTAAATTATGAGTTCTTGCAGTACAATGAACTGGCATCGTTTGCTAGTCTTTGCTTCTGTATTATCGTAATGTTTATGCATGCATGTAATGACGAATCTGTGGACCAGGAGTTTTAGTTACACGATTGAATTGTTGAATAATATTATCACATGATCATCCTTCAGGAGTTTTATTGAGACATTATGGTTGATTCTAACATTTCTAGGTGTATATTAATTATTGGACGGAATACATGTCACATCCCTTAGTTGTATGGTGTGTACCAGGTAATTAGCTTGAGAATGAGATTCTATCTTTGTTAATTGCGGTTCATTTATTGACATTGACATAGACTGATAGACATGGTGGTGGTGATGCTGCTACAGCTAAGTGACGGAGCAGGAAATACTTATCATTGTGTTTTTGAATAAGGAATATGAAATTTGTGCAACAAAATATTAGGAAGTTTCATAATATGAAATTAACAATGAAATGGGCTCATTAGTCTTTGATTAAAACAATCACTGAATCTTTTAGTTTATTCTCTAGATAGTCTGTAGATTTCATTTCGACCCTGCTTCAAAATTACACTAAGGGGGAAGGAAGATCTGAAATTTTAGAACTTGAGCTAGTATTTGAGTTAGAATTTGGTTGTGCTAGGAAACTCGAGACCCCAGAGATTTATTCGTCTCATTAGTTCCTTTTAGCAATGCATCTAAGTGTAGCATTTTTTGCTGATGGAAGATGGTGAAAGAATCATAAGAGATACATATTACTTCTATTTACTGTGTGCGCATTATAGCATATTTCAATGACTCATGTGGGAACCATTGCTGGTCCCTTTTTATGAAGCTGTGGCACTAGAATGAGTTTACCTTTTCTCCTGGTAACCTTGTTGAGTTTGTCTAGATTACCTATTGTGTCAATAGCTTTCACATTATGGTTTGTCTTTCTTGATACAAGTTTTTGGAACTTCGTCGACACGTGCACCATGCAGTATGCTACAGGGAATCTAAGAATCATGTCAAGCAGACGTTTAATTGATCTTTCGTTTTCAAGAATTTATCGTCCCCTGATTGGTGGAAAAGAGTGGTGACGTGAGGGCTTGACATATTGTGATACTGCCCCCATCTTGTCTAGATTCATCTTCAACGTGCATTGCTTGTTTCCTTGTTTAAATTCTCTAACACATTGTCCCGACGTATTCAATCAATCAATAACTGAATGAAACTTGTCATTCCCAGCCACCACCAAGTAATTGATTTTATGGGGATCAACTCTTTCCTTTCACTTCTTTCTGCCTATAAATAAATGACAGCTCACTCTTTCTTATTTCTTTTTCAATTAAACCGGACTTATTTTTAGAGTCGAATCGATAATTAAAAGTCAATGTTTGATCCACATTCTCTCAAAAAAAATACATTCTTAAACAGTGATTTGATATCATTTTAATCACACGTTCTTCAATAAAATAATATAACATGCAAATCCAAAATTTTTACTTATTTTTTAACCACATATTTCCTATAAAATATACTATTTAAAAATGCATTCTTATGAAAATAATGTGGCTCTAACAAGGGCTAAGTGATGTTTTTTTACAGCCAATCCAATATGAAGAAAGAAAGAATATACTGAACAATTGAGCATGTCACTTCCCTCTCACCTGACTTGGACCCTTGAACAAATTTTCAACATTTCCGTAAATTATTGAAGTCGAAGAAGAAAATTTCATAAAATCTCTTCGTATACCACACTAGATTTGTCAAAGTCAAATTTCAACTAACTGTCATCTTCTTGCAGACAATCCAATGAGAAGAAAAAAGAAGAATAACCAAACAAGTGAGCATATCACTTCATATCATAAATTATTCAAGCTGTAGAACTCAATTCCATTACAGTTTTGCTTAGCTAACAGGGCTAGGTCGGCCTGTTCATTCAGCATTATTCATTCCATTAATGTCCATTAGCGTACCAAACTTGATTGTCGAAGTCAAAGTCACTAACTAATGTGTTCCTGCAAACAATCCACTATTGAGAAAGAACAATAGTCTTTTTTGACCTTCTTTATTTGAAAACTCTTTATTTTTCATACTCATTTTTAACTTTAGATTTTACACAATAAAATATTTTGCACGTAAATTTAAAATTATTCCTTATTTTTTGTTAGGATTTAATTGTATTGGTATTCTTTAAACAAAACGGATTAATATAAAAATTGTAGAAATCGAGTTAATTGAAATGTTCTACAGATGAACTAGGTATCTTAGGTTTCGAGTTTGGCACAAGGAGGAAAGAGTCGTTGGATTTACGCTAATCTATCACCTATCTAATGCTCGAGCAGAAAAACAATAACATTGTTGTCCAACTCTCGCTCAAGCAATACACTAGTCACTCGCTTATCGTTAGCCTAACGCTCGAGCGACGATGTTACGCGTAAAATTTTAGTTCACGTTTTTCAAAAGTTTTATCCGGCCCATGCTACCTAAATGCCTACTATTATATATACCCAAGTCTTCACACGTTTTGTAGGGTGGTTGTTTATTATATTACTTCTTCATAATATCATTCCAAGATCCAAGAACACGTTCAAGTATTGAGATTAATCCTTTGATTATTGAGATCATTTAACCACAACTCTGGGAAAATATCAAATTCAGGTAATCCAAAACATCCACTTCTTATACACATGCAGGAAGGTACTTTTTTTAATAACTTTCAGAGGTTGCTAAAAATTGAGGGGGATGATATCAAAAGTACAAGAAGAGTATAAGAACAATGTGTTTGATGATCCACATGAGATAAACAATTGCAGAAGATCAGGAACAAGTATGAATGAAGCACGTTCCAATGGATTTTGAAGATTACAGGATTTAGATCAGTAAGTTTGATGGGTATTCTAGGCTGGATCATACTATAAGTTCATATTGTCAATAGTGAATGTTACTGGCTTGGTCTCATAGTTTTTACCTAGTTGGGTTTTCTCTGTCAACATATTTTGTGTTGTTTACTACTTTAATATTATTGATTGTGGTATTTAAACCATAGAATAATTTGACTTGATAATTGTCATCTAGAAACAATTAAAAAGTGACTTGTTATTTTTAATTGTATTATTTTGCACGTTGGGTCAAAATAAATTGGTTAAATCTAAATTTTCAGGTGGTACCAGAGCTTTTTTTTTAACCACACATTCTCCAAAAAAAAAAAATTCGAAACATTATATATTGATTCGATCTGAACTCTTGGAATTAGAATAAGTTCGGTAGCAAATCACGAAATTTTGGTGATCTTCTCTATCTAATGAATGGGTGTCTGTTTTAAAATCGTCCCCCATGCACCCATCATTTCCTCAATTTTCCTTTATAATGGCCATCATATAGGGGAATAATATAACAATTGAGTGTGTTTCTTCTGATATTAACTTGGACAGATGAACAAGTTTTAGACATTGTCGTAAATTGTTGAAGTTGAAGAAGTAAACTCTATTAACCACTCTCTGTATTTAGACTTGATTGTCGAAATCAATTAAGCAACTAACTGACGCATTCTTGTAGGCAATCCAGTGAGATAAAAAAGAAGAATTATCGAACATTGAGCATGTCACGTTTGTCCCGTCCAACAAGTTTCCGACATTACCGTACAGTACTGAAGCAAAATATTTAAATTCCATAATGTCTCTTCATATACTAGACTCGATTGTGTTGGGTTGTGTTCCCATTTAGTATATTTTACTATGATAAAATAATCATTTATTACAAATAAATTGTGTTTTTATTTATTTATTATATTATTTATTATTGAGCATGCAAATTTATTTATAATATAAGTTGGATACTTGCGTTGAGAAGTATAGTGTGACACAACTTATATTTTGATTATAAATAATTTGTTCACAACCAATGTATAAGGGTTGACACCTTGTACTGGAAGGTTGTGGTGTTGACCCATTCACTATTTAGGTTTGTGATCTGTCCTTATCATAGAAATAGTTAAAGGTGACACTAGTACATTTGGAGTGTATTGAACGGACCACATGTTGAATTTAATTCTATAGCATGACCGTGCGGAGAATTAAATTCCACTAGATCGCTGTGAATTTTATATAAATCTCTTGACAAGATTATGTATATATTTTCGTGATTTTAATGGTTCTTTGATTCATTAATGGGTGAGATCAATTTCATTGGTCAAATATCTCGATGAGTTGGGAACCTGATAATGAGTAGAGTAGAGAACATGAATTCGGGTTGGGAACCGTCGCCCTGAAAAATGGGTAGAGTGACTACTTGAGTATTTTCTGTTGAACGGTTAAAATCTGAGTTCAGTGTTTAGCGATGACTAAATTTCGACATCTGTGATTTGTTCACAGGATCGTTGAAAAAAATGAAACTTAAGTTAGTGAGAAATTAGAAGGGCAAAATGGTCATTTATGCTCGTACCTAATTATCGGATCTCAGACGAGGATAAAATACATATACGACAGGTCAGAAAAAAGTATTACAGATTTATTGGTTTCTGTGATCTTATATATTCCAAGAGTTCAGTCTTTTGCCTTTAGTGAAAAAAGTAAAGACTAATAATTAGATTGTGTAGTCTAGGGTTAACAAGACATGATCTAATTATTGGAGTTTGAAAAATATATGTCCGATCAGGTTCCTGTGGTAGCTCCATAAAGTATTGGAACTTAATTACGGTAATTATAATAGTTTTGGGCTTAATTGTAATTACAATAAAAAATTTTACTTGGTTGTAATTACTACAAAAGTTGTAAACTTAATTGTAATTGTAATTGAAGTTCTAGAACTACACATGTAATTAAATGCAAACCAATTGGAATTGA